AAAAAAATGGAAATTTCGCTGTTCATCAATGGCTTTGATTTTGTAAACTAAAAAATGGAAAATGTTCTTTAGAAAAAATAACACCCGTTACACCCCAGGTTAAATAATAAGAATAATCGTGAAAGGGTCAAATAAAATTTACCTCCTCGTATTATCACTAACTACACTGTCGGGTGTTCCGTATTCCGGTGGGTTTGCGTAGGGATCATATCCTAATACTGACAGCATTGGTGCTATTTCCGCCATGTCTCTAACAACATCCTCAGGAATATTGTCGACCCACTTGGTAAGAGCTTCCAAGTTTATCGGTTTTATTACTTGATCCGAAGATCTTTCGACCCTGAAATTAAAAGATCAATCACTTTATTTTCTCGTTCCTTTTAAAAATGTTCAAAACAATTGAAATAATAATAATTATTAAAGTGTAATCCTCACTTGCTGAGAGGGACACCTCCGGGTTTATTTATATATTCCTCATGATGGAGGACTGACTCACTCCAGGGGAGATCGAGAAAATTGAGGATTTTTTTCAGCCATTCACGTGGATGTAATACTAGTTGTTCGTATGGTACCATAAGGCATCGATCAGAACCAACTTCCTTGCATTGTGAGTGCATCTGGGATATTGCGTGATTCCATTTTGTCAGGCATTGCCGATAGGATGTCAGGTCGAATCCCGTTATTGTCACCTGGTGAAAATTATTTATAAATTTTTTTTTTAAATCGTTTCCCATACATATGATTATTGTCCAAGAGGTCTTAGCTTCGATTGGTATTTGTATTATATTATATATCAATCCATATACACTGAGAGAAATATTCAATAAAAATTACATGTATTTTCCGTAATTCTGGAGCGAAATGTGGTTGTCAGAAATTTTACGGAACTGTCACGTATTTTTTATCTAAAGTTACGGAATTTTTCCGCGATGTTCCGTAATTTTTATCTGAATTATCGGTGAAAAATAACGATACCGTCACTTAAATTTTTCGAATCAACTCCGTAATCGGTAAGTGAACTGAAAGTTCCGTAATTTTTACTAAATATTTCTCTCCGTGTATGGGTGATTCCACGGAAATAATGATTATCACGAAATCACTCTTTTCATTATTATCATAAGATCCTTCGGTTACCCATATATATATTTTTTTTTTGTTGTTAGTTTTGAAAAATATGTGTAAACTACCTTTCTTGATATTATCGAGTGGACTGTAGCTCGGCCGTCTCTCACCATGAAAAGAAATTTCGCATTGGGAAATAAATCCAACATGTAAGAACCCATTTTGAGCGTCAAGGGATCTTTATTGCACAATCGGGGGGCTGGTTCGCCATGCCTCGCAATAACTTCCAAACAAAATGCTGCAACTGCACTATCCATAACCTGATAAAAGGTGGCAATATTATTCGTCTACAACATGT